TTTTTTGGCTTCAGTCTCTGAAATTCCTTTTTAGTATGAAGTCACTCACTATCACAAAGTGCTAATATCTTTTCAAAATGAAATTAGGGTTGGAACCGGTAGAGGCGCCATGAAGCTATGACAATTTTAGAAAAAACTAGCTGGCTTACCCGGCTCCGCCGTATCCGGACCAAACTTGGCACACATACACTTCGGGCCCCGGCGGGTGTCACAGTCCACTTTTCGTTATCGATCGATGTCGATTTTACCGATTTTTATCGATTTTTTTGCAGAGTTCACCTACAGGGCTAGGAGTTGGCACAGGGGGGAAGTGAGCATGGGGATTCCGAATACAATATTAGTTTTCAGAATTATCGATTACTTTTATTGATTTTATCGATTTTTTGTAAATTTTGACATGCGAGGCTGGGATTTTGCACAGGGGGTAATCGAGCATGCTGATTACGAACACAATATTAGTTTTCAGGATCGTCCATTACTTTTATCGATTGCATCGATTTTTTTGTAAAGTTTGACCTGCGGGGCTGGGAGTTTGCACAGGGGGTAATCGAGCATGCAGATTACGAATACAATATTAGTTTTCAAGATCGTCCATTAGTTTTATCGATTTTATCGATTTTTTGAAAATTTGAGTTAGGGGGCTGGAATTTGGCACAGGGGTGTAATCGAGCATGCTGATCACTCCCCTTGGGGATGATCAGCATGCTCGATTACCCCCCTGTGCCAACTCCCACCCCCGTAGCTCAAACTTTGCAAAAAAATCGATAAAATCGATAAAAGTAATCGATAATCCCGAAAACCAATATTGTATTCGGAATCCCCATGCTCGATTACCCCCCTGTGCGAACTCCCACCCCCGTAGCTCAAACTTTGCAAAAAAATCGATAAAATCGATAAAAGTAATCGATAATCCTGAGAACCAATATTGTATTCGGAATCCCCATGCTCGATTACCCCCCTGTGCCAACTCCCAGCCCCGTAGCTCAAACTTTGCAAAAAAATCGATAAAATCGATAAAAGTAATCGATAATCCTGAAAACCAATATTGTATTCGGAATCCCCATGCTCGATTACCCTCCTGTGCCAACTCCCAGCCCCGTAGGTGAACTCAGCAAAAAAATCGATAAAAATCGATAAAATCGATATCGATCGATGACGAAAAGTAGCCTATGACACCCGCCGGGGCCCGAAGTGTATGTGTGCCAAGTTTGGTCCGGATCGGTTCAGAAATGGAATTTTCTATTCGGAACATACGTACACACATACATACATACATACATACAGACAGACATACATACAAACAGACATTCAGCTTTATATATAAGATGAAGCGATACCAGTACCCTCCCAACTTGGCTTACTTCCTTTTTTGTCATCGCCGCACATTCTTTACTGTTTTTCCCATAAATTAGAATACATTTGCATAAGTAATTGTCTAAAGGAAGTTGAGCTTTTGACTACAAATAAATGTATGTACTACATTTTTTGTCTCAACCAAGGAATTCTGATCTTTGGTATGATCTTCATTTCCCCTCTATTTGAATGCTACACAGACATTAGCATAATTCTTTGGACTCCTGGTTTGCCGCTGAAATGTGTGCATTATAGGTCAGAGCATATGCTATGGCCTTAAAAAAACAAGGCCGTATTATGCTTTGTAATTTAGAACTCGTCTTATCTATTCTTTCATTGAATTCTAGGCTCCTAGTAAAAGAGACAAAAAAGAAAAATAGTTAGAACGTTCAAGATTTAACACAGAGCCGTCGTGTCCTGAGTTGTCAAAAGAAAAATGTGTGATAATCCATTGCATTTCATTTTGGACCAACGAAAAGAAAAGAGGATGATGAAGCAAAAACTTGTTTTAGCAGTGAATTGAAATCTTGAAAAAGGTTTTATGTGGTTTGCATAAGTTGCGCGTTTCCTTTGCTTTGAAAGCGAATTGCTATACTTTCCAAATATGATGTTGTCTTCCACCTTTCAGTTATCGCTTCCATGTATAAATTGCCGTTGATGTTGCTAGCAATGGCCAAGAATTTGGTCTTGGATCAAGCAATAACGTGCTTACGCTTGACAACCAATTATCGTGAGAGCTGTGTGTCTTTTTTGCACCTTCTTTGTTTCTATAAACATGGGGCAAAAAATGGTTACCAAGGATTTCATGACGGTTAATCTTTCCAAAGAAGATGTGCATGGTTTTTATGTTGAGAAAGAAGGGAAGACTTTGTGTTAGATTGCCTAGCATCGGCTTAGGGCTCCAATCTTAAGAGTTCTCCATCTTTTTTGTGTAAATTTGAGCAGTCGCTGTTGCATCAGTAAGAATTGGAGTGATCTGCATGTACTCCGCTCCTTCTCAAGCTAATCAAGTCGTGGAAGCCCTCAAATTGCTAGACTTACTTTATTTGTTTGCGCAATCTTAGGCTGAGTCCATTTCGTGTTTTTTGATCAGTGGCTCCTTGGAATTCCTTGAACCTAAACATAGAATGTCCTTAACAAATAACTGGAATTATCTAGGCATACTGACATACAATGTGAGAACATGCATCATTTTCAAGGCTCTGTTTGTCTGACTAAAAATAACATATCATGCGCCTACTTGTGACGTCATCAAGCATATATCAATGTGAGAGATTGCCATCTTGACGCTTGTTGTACTTAGACTCATGGGTGGTGAAATTTGTTTGGATAAGATTTTCCGCCAAATTTCAAGTTGTCCTGGAAGTTTTGTCCGTTTTTTTTTGATCGGTCCCCAAACTCACAGAACACTGCTTGTGTATTATTTTCAGATTTTTATTCTTGCTTGACGCATTTGCAGCTGCATTTTCTTCTCGACCTATGCATTCTTTGCGATGTTACCGCCTTGAGCATAGTAACAGGGATGCCAAACTTCTCCCAATTTTTGAAAAATTTTATCCCAGCCTTTCGAAGGATTGCTGGTAAGATTTATGTATGTAGAGTAATCCTGTAAATCTTCGGCCACATTTTACATATTTTTAAATCACCTGATCTAGTCTCTGAAAGCTATAGTAATTGTCTATTTAAAAAAACAGCTTTTTGCGCACATGTAGCGCATGGGCGTACCTATTCAAAAAGTTGTTTTTTGAAAGCAAGAAGAAATTTGATTGTTTGGCAAAAATAATGCTTAATGACAGTTTAGCTTCAATGCAGGTACTCCGGAGCATCTCATTTTTTGCTGCAGTTGTGTTTCTGATGACTTTTGCCAAAATGATATCTCAGAAGTGGATCTACAGAGTTCCAAACAGCAGAATCTAAAAACAGTACCTTATACAAGATTGCCTCAGTGTATCATGCCTGAACTCCTCCGGAAAGTTTAGAATAGATTTTTTAAAAAAGCGAACTTTGAATAGATAGAAAGGATAGAAAGTCTTGGCAATCAACAAGAAATATTCGCAAGATTATGATGTGTAGCCAATAAAAAGGAGAAAAAAAAGCTGCATTGTATGCACGCTTTTATGCTTTTTACACTCTCGTACATGAGGCTTTATGGTCGTTCAAAAGTCAGCAATACTTCGACGACGACATAATGTTTGGATCCCCGAAGAAAGTTTCAAAGTCGCTCTGTCTGCTTATTTGAGCATTTTTACCCACTACTTCAGCGGCTGTCGTTGTTTTATTCTATCCATCCAGATCATTGAGCCACCACCCATAAACATGCTATGTGTCAACAACATAATTTCTTCCTATTTTGCTGTAATTTTCTCGAAAATGGATACACATTGGCAGCTGAATGGAGTGTGCACTGAAGAATAGCTTCACATGTGATATTATGCAGATTTCGCAAAAATGGACTCCTATAATGTTTATCCTCCCTTGACTTTTTTGAAGAAATACGTTCTAAACTAAGTATGCTCCTTTTGTTGTTTCTCATGTATGTGCTACAATATCGCTCATAATTTGTGAAAAAAAGACGCGCAGTCGCACATTCACGTAACATCACCGTATCATGGCCATATCTCGCTTTAAAATGGACCAATTTCTAATTCAAGGGCACCATTCGACTCATCTCGGCACAGCGCATCTTCAGATATGTGGAAGTGCCCAATTGGAAAAAGTAGGAGGCCAGATATGAATTCGTTTTAGATTTTTGCTTATGGTAGGTTACCCGTTGTGCTTGTTCATTGCATTCACTGGACAACCTACCATAAGCAAAAATCTGACTCGATTCATGGAATCTGGCCTCCCTCTGCGTCCAAGCAGGCACTTTTATATATCAGAAGATGCGCCGAGCCGAGCTGAGTCAAACGTTTCCTTGTCCTTGGTTTAAGAATTCGTCCATTCTGAAGGGAGGTGTGGCCACTCTACCATGGTGTCGCACGAAGCGGACGATTGCGTGTCGTTTTTCTCAAAAAAAAAGAGTGTATTGTATTTCTGGATGATTACATGCGTTATTCGTGGAGTTACGTTGAGCATTAGCTGTTTACGGCTTGGAAAATTTCTCAAAAAGATTGTTGCCAATGCGTATGATGTTCGCCAAATTGGTCTTGGTCTTTGCTATCGCAAATGATTTTGAAGGCTGTGCTGGTTTTACACATAACCTAGGAAAGATGAACCAAAAAAGGGATGACAGGAGTGACAGTGGAACTTCTTTGCGGCTACCCAATAAGTTACCATATTTTGCAATTTTGTCTCCACCAGAAATTGAGAGCAAATCCGTAATACATTGACCAACTTCATTATAGCGAAGCATCATGAGTAGAAATCATGGTCCTGGCCATGTAAGAGGAAATCTTGGTTTTTGGTGGACGAACTTCTGACCTCCCCATAGCAGCTCCATCACATGCTCCTATCTCCCTTGGCAGTAATTTTTCTTCTTTTTCTATCAAACTCTACATGTTCATGAGCTCTTCATAGAACCAACGCGGCTTGCTATGAGCCTATGTCTGTTTTATATATATCCTGGGCTTTTGTAAAACCTGTCTGTGCTTGTTGTGTCATTATAATTCGCTTGTTTACTTTTGTTGCTATGCGTTTCTATGTTACAGATCCGACGGCGGTCATTTCGTGAACATCAAAAAAACGAGACATATCCTGTCGCTCCTCCGGATTTAGACGTTGGCTGGTTAGAAAAGTGAGTGGTAATTTTTTCTTGTTATTTTGTATCCGAGACTACGAATTTTGTTTACATTTTTCCTTTTTGTGATATCATGAAAATTGTCTAAATTCTTTTTTGATCTTTGCGGTAGTACTGGAAGATTTTGGCAACTCACCAACATACATGTCAGTAAAATTCGCTGTATTTTTACAAGAGGTTTGTTTACTTCAGCATTTATCGGTGAAACTTATATTTCTAAAATCGTAGTCGTCATTTTAGAAATATCTTACCCTCAAAAATTATTGCCAAAAGATGAGCACTTCTATAAGCGGCACTCATATGTGGGTGTAAAAGTGCCATTACTTATGCAGAATCTATGCTTTAGGCAAAAGTCTTAGTCACTGCAGCGGGGGAGAGATTAATTTCCCCCCACAAGATGTATGCTGAATTTATTTTTAGCCAGATTTGGTTGAGCTTTTATGTTTTTGTTTCTCTTTGCTCCTACTTAAGTTAAATGTGGGGCGAAAAAGGAAGCTGTCTGACTCATAGCATTTTTGCTGAATTTATTTATCGGCTATATCAGAAAATCATGGTTCTTCTCAAAATAAATGGCGAAATCCATCACTGTTGCTTCTCCCCAAAATGCATTATTTTGCACTTGTTTGCCTTCTGACGTGTACGTCCTGACCTCTTGACATCTTCCTGTTTTTAGCTCTTCACCGCCACCAGCTCCACAACCAGCATCTCGTCCAACTAGTCGTAGTCCACGACAGATCCGGTTCAACATTCCGGAGGTATTTGTTTGTTTTGGTTTTTACATACAAACTGGAATTGAAGTTTTTGCTCAATTCAAACAATTTTCGATAGCATTCCAAGACCTAGCTTACAATCTTAGTCTTGTTAATTGAAATTAGAAGATCATTCTAGTTCTACGGAGTTTGCCACTAGCTGTAGCTTTGCCTTCAAGAACGCATTTGAAAAACGACACTTCAAGTCCCTGATTTTCGTTTGGTCGCAAAAAATACTAGGTGCCGCTAGCCGGCTTCAAACATCTGTAGGCCTTTTTCACGTAGCAGTATCTCAGACATCACTTTGGCATGCTTTTCCTTTTGGAACGAAATTGTGAAAAACTTTATTTTGCTGAAAGAATCCCGCTTTACTGCATTTTCTCCGCGGAATCCCACCAGGGCTCGGTACAGGTAGCTTATAAGCAAGCTAGGTATCGTTTTTGGGATCAAAAGCGTTTTTGTGCCCGAAAAACCCAGCTCTGGTGACGTTTTTTTAGTCGATTTGTTTTTTGGGGGTTTTTTGGGGGGTCGTTTAGAATTTAGGGTCAAAGGCGATTTTGTTTTTCTGCATTTTCGGAAAGCCACCTCGTGCCTCACGTCAAGACCGAAATTTGACTTAGTGCATACCTAAAACACTATTGATATTTTGGTGTCAATATTTGGAATTTCCAGTTATAAGATATGTATGGAACTATTGCTACATATAAGAAAACTTTATAGTAGAAGCTTTGAGCTTACAAGGGAAGGATACCAACATTAGTTGGCAATTGAAGATGAAATGTATATCATTGGATGCGCATTTGAACGCTGATTCCAAATCTGCTTTCCTTTTTTGCGGAATAAGTTTCCGAAAGAAATTATAAGCGTTTGAATGTCCAGATTTGCCAAGCATTGAGTGGCTTAAAGGCAGCGGACAGGCAAAATGGACCCCTGTCAGATTTTGGTAGTTTCGGGTAGTGGACCCCCCAAGTACACCGTAGCCCCAACCCCACATTCCAATTCATGCGCTAAGTCCTGAAAAAAGCGCTTCAAAACTCCACCAGCCCCGCCCACTTGCATTGAGTGGGCGTTATTGGTGGAAGTTTGAAGCGCTTTTTTCAGGACTTAGCGCATCAATTGGAAGTTGGGGTTGGGGCTACGGTGTACCTGGGGGGTCCACTACCCGAAACTACCAAAATCTGACAGGGGTCCATTTTGCCTGTCCACTGCCTTTAACACGTTGATGACGAGCCATTTTTTGAAGGTTTGTCCCTGTGGACGAACCGTTTCCAGGCATTTTCACAGCCGGCTGCACATATATATGCATGCATCTATGCGTGAGATACACAAATTCAAGTGGGCGGGGCAGCTCCGCCCACTTTTGGCAAGCCCCGCCCACTTCTCAAAAATGCTGGAAATTGCTCAAAATCAATGAATTCGTGCAAATTCCGGCATTTTTGAAAAGTGGGCGGAGCTTGCCACCGAGGGGGTGGAGCCTGCATTACGGGGGGCGGGGTCAAAATCAAGATTATTTGAGGTTCCCTTGTCATCTATGAGCTTTTCTATGCGATTTGAGAACGAAGAAAGTTTTTTGCAGAGGGCAATGGAGTGGGCGGAGTTTGCCAAAAAGGGGGCGGGGCCAACATGAAATACTTTCGAGCCTAACTTGATTATATGAACACAAGTTGGAACCATTGTGCACATTAAAACTGATGTTCAGGGTGTCGCGCACCATTGCGCGACATCGTCCACAGGGACAGACTGCCTGTCGCGCACCATTGCGCGACACCGTCGTCAACGTGTTAAAATCAGCGAAAAACTCTAAAACAACACCTATGCAATTTCCACCGGTTTCGTTCCTTCCTTGCAAATAATATACTCGATACAAAAATGATTTTTCACTTTCCGGTGTTTTTGTACAGCTTTTCGCCAGTTTTAGGCTACCTAAACCTTGATAATTTGGGACATTTAAACGTCCAGAACTTCTTTCGGAAACTTATTCCGCAAAAAAGGAAAGCAGATTTGGAATCAGCGTTCAAGGGCGCGTCTACTAATCATCTCATCTTCAATCGCCAACTAATGTTGGTATCCTTTCTTTGTTAGCTAGCGCCATTACAGTTTTTTTCCAAGGATCAAATAGGTCTCAGAATTCCTTTGAAAGTCTTAGCAAGAATAGTCCACATAAACTTTGAATTTTATTCAAATTACTTGAAAAGCTCAAGAATTACCCAAGAAAGAAAGAAGCTTTTAGCTTATAATCTAGTGAACAAAAATTTTTTTCTCATATCGACGATATAGACTAGTAATCGCTTTGGTTTCATAACATTCGTCACTGACGAGGAAGTGAAATTTGTCAAGCATTGCTTCTTCATTAATCAGGTTACTTACTTCTTGAGTGCCGCTCAGCCACTTCCTCCGAGCCTTGTTTGTCAATTATATAGCTACTAGCAAGTCTCTTGAGCAATGCTTTGCTTGGATCTTGTCATATAAAATCAGGCATACGCGTCATTTAGATTCGGACAAAATTCGATTTCTCAATATCGGGTTACTTGCCCACGCAGTATTTGCGATTTCTCAGCTACAAAAAACAATCAGCCAATTTATGCGTTAAGTCACCTGCCATTCAAACATTAAAATGTTTTTCCTTGACGGTGCATGCGAGCAATTGTCACATGCTTCCAGATGAATCCAAACATCGTGACTCGAATTTTTTTCATTTTTTGTTTTCTGTGCTCGTCTGAGGCTGCTTGATGGATTCATGTGGCTGTGGCGTTTTTGATGTAAAGGTTTTGGAATCACCTTACCCAGATGGTGTTGCGTAAAATAGAATAGGGTTCTGTCAGTACTTTGATGTTCGCACTTTCTAAAGATCGTAATTGAGAGCAAGTAGACTTCTAAGTCAAGCAATTAGCGCGGAAATAGGTGACGTAAAAGCACAGAAATAGCTCAAAGTCGCTAGTAAAAGTACATCTATGAACACGTAATAGGTTTTTATGCGTGTAGAATTATGCTGCACTTGATTCTCGCCACATGACTAATGAAGGACGAGATAAAAATAGCCATAAATCCTTCTGCAAATGACTTGTTTTCTCGTGTCGCTGGAGCGAAAGTTACTCCAGCAATCTTTCGCGCGTGTTGTCATGCGTTATGATGTTTGTTGGTATATTTAGCATCATAAACAACCAATAAAGTTAACGCTTGACGGGCCACAGCGCAATGCAATTTAGTGCTCGTATATGGTCGCAAATGGTCGTCGATCTCGTCCGTCAAGAGACTTTTCAGAGATTATCGTAGTAACTCTCTATTCACTTCGAGAACTCGCCACGGAGATCTGAGGTTGGTGGGATTTTGGTGCGATACCGTAGCGAGACCTCTATATAATTTAATGCCCGAGTTTCGCTGCAAAAGATATATTCTGAAGCGAGAACATCGTTCTAGAAGGTGGATGCTGCTGGGGTCGCCACGCCCATTAACGTGGATGGCTCAAGGAAACTAAACTCATTAATACCTAGTAATGTCGAAAATCCGACTTCTATCGGAAAAACACATTTTCGACATCTCTGTGTATCCTGGAGTTCCATTTGCTTTAGACCACCCACGTTGATGGGCGTGGCGACCCAAGCATCCACATTCTGAAGCAATTTTCTGGTTGCAATATACACCTTCTGCAGCGGGCTTGGAGATTTACTTAGCCAGGAAACTCCCCATCTTACTGCATCAAAATGACATCGACCTCAGAACGGTTGGATGGCGCCTTTAACACTTTGCTGCCAAAAAGTGGAAAAAATTCATAGGGATCACTAGAAAGCTGTTTATTCTAAAAGAAAATAAAACTGCACCGGGCCTGTTTTTACGCACAAGTCCTATAGGGAGTGCAAATGCAATGTATCTCCATCAAACCAACTGGACAATAGTCCATTTGTTAGCTGATATAACACGCGTAAAAAGTGCTGCCAACCCTCATTTATAATGTTTGCTGAATGTTATTCTAAATCTTGAGGCTAGACAGATGTTATATCCACTTGAGATCACTGAATTTTCATGCGCTCGTCTTTGATTCTTAATGCAACGTCGTTCAAGATATTTTGTTTGTTCAGTCGGCGAAAAATATTTGAAAAATGACGTCTTGCCACTAGTTGAAGGTTATATTTTTGTTGAACAGATACATTGCGACAGCTGCACGGCAGGAACATTTACCTTGCATTCTGGATAAGAAAAGCTTCTATTGTTGCAATTTATTCTTGAATACTTGAAGGAAATGCTTGGTTTTTGAGTTAGTTTCTTGTTTTGCCTAGAGAAAAGCTGTTGTGCACTTTTGGCGAATGATTGCCTTGACTTATAGCTTCCTTGTTTTCTATTTCAGTCTCAGATTTACATTCTTGCTTGGTACATCTAGATTTCTAGTGTTGATGTGTGCCATATTTTACTGTGTAAAGCAAAATGGCTTTTTTTTTCTAAATTCTATAAGATCTTCTCGTTGATGACTAGCACCTACTTCTTTTGGACTAAGAGCTTAATGTATTTTTTTTTTGTGTCTCATCGTTCATGTTTTTAGGAAGAAAAACCATGCAAAGTGCTGGGAAATAATTTGGGCATTTTGGCCGCTCCCATAAACTTGCTTGGAGTTTTCTGATAGTAAAAGGACACATTGCTGGCCATTCCTCCTGTCCCCCTCCCCTCCCTCTCCCCTGCATTAAATCTACTACATACCAGTAGAGCTAGACAATCTGACGTTAGGTCAGTGATCCATCACTTTCAAATAGGCTAGCTCTTTGGTGCCTAATCTAAATAGCATCCCTTTCCGAAGTACAAGTTTAGTAAAAGAAATTTGTGGATCTTGACAGCTGACATTTGTTTACTTCTCCTTGGGAAGTATTTTTATGGGACCACATAATTCGTTTGAAATCTAACTACCTCGTTTTTCCACACCCTAATGTTTAGCGTTTTGTTTCGTTAGCAGTTCCTAGCAGTGTGTTTATCTACCTAGTCACTGTTTGCTCGAGTACTCTTGGCTACATTGAGACTGAGATAATACACTGTTAAGTAAGTATACTGTAACTGCAGTTGGGGTGGGCATTTCTTGCAAATTTTTTTGAAATGGAAGATCTTCGAGATGTGAAGGAGTTATTGCTTCATATACTTCTTTCCGATGCCGAAGGAGCTAGTAATAGCTAGTTTCATATGATAGATAAATTTTCCACCAATTAAATATCAAACGATGTACTGGTTTTGTTAATAGCCAAAGTTTGTGATTTGGGTTGTACCTTTTGCAGAAAATCAGAAACGACCGTTTCTTTTCTTTTGTAAGTGAACAGAGACCTGTTTTATACAGCTTCCTTGAGTCTCATGTGTTCTCGAATTGATTTCTGTTTCTCGTTTTCGGAATTTTTTGTACACTTTTCCTTTATTAATGGTTGAAGGATTTTTACACAATTTTCGCGAGTATAATGTATTAGTAGACTGTGTTTTATCGAAATTGCTATTGGAATTTCTGTCGCTTGGAGTGATGGCCTCTTCACCATACTAACAAATTGAGAAAGTAACAAAACTAAAGGATATCCAATTCCGTCTCATTGCTTCCCTAGACGGAAAAGGATAAGAGTACGATCTTCCCCGGAAGTAGTGAGGGAAGATCGTATGCTTAAGAAAAATAATAGAACTAACCTTAACCTTCGTCTGATAAGTCGTTCTTTTGCCCTCAATCCATATGGGTAAACACATCTCGAACTCAGGTAATTAAACCTAAAACAAAGTTTCTGACTTGGAGGATTTTTTATGGAGAAATTTGATTTTCGTCCACTTTGCTTTTATCTTTTTCTCTCAACTCAATACTTCTCCTCAAATTTCGTTCCACTCTACTAACGAGAAATCTCTAACAAAATTTCCCCTTCAGCCTATCCTACGACTCAAAATCAACGAATGTTTTCTTAAGCATGTGTGTTCAAAGCTCATAAATCGCATCAACATGTGCTGTTTTTTCCAGCGGGTGTGTTCTCGTTCATCTCCGATTACATACGGGGCTATTGTTTATCTGAGGTTCGGTGTCATTCTTGGATGAATTATTATGACAATCATTTCACCTCGTGCAACATTTGTGCTCCATCCCCCTCCCTCTCCTCTCCCCCCATCTCCGAGTAGCATATTTTTCGGACTTCAGTGCGATGGTGACTTCTGTCTATGCATTTTCTGCTGTAGAAAAAGAGAAAAGCTTTACTTCTCATAAAATGACCTCGGAGACATTTGTGACTAGCTTTGCTACAGCTGGTGCGCCAAAGATTTTTCCAGAAATTGTCTGCAAAGAACTAGGTAGTTACGACCGGTGTATTGGGAAGCTTTATTGCTTCGCGAATGTTATAAGGCAGTTTTTCTCGATACCCGTCATGCATTACATAGGAAGGATGTAGGATTAGTAAGAGCAGAAGGTAGTTGTTGCTGAATGTGCAAGCGCGGTTCTCTTTCTTATTTTTCCTTTTTTTCCTGCTCTGCGACTTCACTCCTTTATCTTTTCTCTTTTCAACGAATAGCAAACTCGGAAAAAACTAAATCTGTATTATATTTTGGCTTCCTTACAGGCAGTATCATCCACGAAGTTTTTCAAAAATCCCAAAAAAACCGGTCGAGCTTTTGCAGCATCGCGACCACTTCAAAGCTTCTATCGCTTATCTGCAAGTGCAGCAGCGCTAAGCTGAAGACCGTTTAGCTCTGAAGCACCTGCTGTGATTGTTTTTTCTTTAAGAGCTGCTCTAGCGATATTTATAGTAGTCCAGCACATCCAGCTGTCTGTTGTAAGTGCGCTTAAATACGGGCAGGTATAGGACATTTCGGCCAGACTTTGCTTGTGGCTCTGTTCATTCCTGGGAAACTAGCGATGGTTCCGGGATGGTCTTTGGCATGTTGCTTTGGTTGATCACAGACTCTCATCATACAAGTCCTGTCTCACACAAAGGCATCATCCATCCAAATCTGAAGTTGATGAGTTGCGGATGCAGTACAATAGCGAGGTCTGTAATGGAGTAATTGCCCAAATTTCGCTGCAAAAGGTGTGTTCCGAAGCGAGAAAATTGCTTCATAAGGTGGATGCTGCTGGGGTCGCCACGCCCATCAACATGATGCCACCGAAGCTGATGGGCGTGGCGACCCCAACAGCACATTTCCAGAAGGATTTTCTCGCTTTGAGATACACCTTTTGCACCGGGACTTGGGAATTACTCAATTAGGGAATTAGCCATTTTACTGCTTCAAACTTTTACCAACCCAAATTTGGGTAGACGTGCTTTGATTTTTGCATTTCCTTTCTTCTACACTCCTAGCTACATTGGAGCCAAATTGATTGTTTATGTTCAGATCCAAGTCTCATTAGACTTGTCTACTCCACCGTTTCCCGTGAACGAACCACCAACAGAATTAGAGTGGAGTCCAGCAGGATCACTAAGTATGGATACAGTAATGCAGAAAGTGCAACCAGAGAGATTAGTGTTACAACGCCAGGTATGTTTTTGTTCAAAAAATTGCGAAAAAAGGCTTCTGATTGTAAGATTTGTTTCTACTAATATTGATATCGTCAAGGCTATGTGCCATGTGAGTCAAAAAACCCCGTGAATTTTTCGGGCTTTGTTGCTCTGTATATCAAGTTTCAACTTAAATTGAGTGGAAATCAGATTTTCAATCAAGCTTGTTTTCAACTGCGCAATTCGGCTGAAGCGTTCGTCGTAGTAGATAGTTCGAGAGTCCAGAGCTGTTCCAGATAGTTTTTTTTTTATGAATACGGTGCATCTGCTATGCTTACAAAATGTGTATAATCTTTTCTACAAAATAGTATCCCTTTAATTTGTTAGAGCTGCTGATATGTGCGGAAGAAGTAAGGCTTTATGAATGATCAGTAAAAGCTTTATGATATTCCGAGATTGTAGTCTTTTTCGGTACTTAAGTGGACTTCAAATTTTTCGTGCTGAAATTGAATAAGCATTTTGAAGTGCAGAAAAAATTTTGCAAAATTTTCAGATGCTATCGTGCATTTTATACTCGGTATATGTACAATTTCTAGCCCTCGACATATATCCCGAATCTGCATTTGGAATTAGGCATGTGCATAACAAATTTTCTGTGAATTTTTGAGATTTGCCTGCAGAATTGCTGCAAAAACGAGACAGCGTATCAAATCAGCATCTGGACAATTTTGTCTTAATGAATGTTTATAAGTGATAAGGGCTAGTTGCAATATGTTATTACTCGGTTTTGTGTCGAATTTAATGTGTTGATGGTTTCTGTAACCCTCAACCATTGATAAGCGTTACATTCTATAAGCCTACGGAATCCCTTAGCTTAAATGGTGAGTTACCACTCTTGAGTATCTAATTACTCGAGAGTGAGTGTTACCTGTGCGTCAGGAATGTAGCCAATTGGCGGCATCTCCTTTCAAGCACCAGCTCGTGTACACTGTATCCTGTACTCATTTCAACTCCACCTTTCTTCGTATATAAGAAACCTCCGAATGTATTAGGTTGTCTCACAAGTTTTTTTTTTCAGTTTTAAGTGTAAAGCAGTAAGTCACATACTTCTTAATTCTGACTGAGATGCAGGGTACCGTTCGATAGAGAAAGGCAAGCTTTATAAGATGGCGTGTAAGCAGCTTTAGCGCACGAATTAGAAGCCGAAATCTGGATACTTTTGGATGCCCAAAAAATTGGAAATTTTCTATAACTTTTTCCTAAGAAAACCAGATTCCAAACTCGCTCACGCATTTTCACCCCACAGAACACATTCATATGTGGCGTTGCTGTTTGTTTCTGTGTTAGAAACCGAGAAAACCAAAATTTTCAGGCCAAAAGAGCGATGGTGCGCTGTTTTCACACAGATAAATGTATACTACAGCCCTTTAGAAGTACAGACACAGATTTCCAGCTTTCTATAAGCCCTAATTCCCGAGAAATATTGATTTCCATGGAACACCTTAGCAAAAAAAGCTAAGTGCGATAATTTTCAAGAACTAGCGCTTCCAGGAAGCTGAAAATCTATCGATGTGTTATTGAAGGCCTGTAGTATACATTCACCTGTGTAATAACAGCGCAGCATCGCTTTTTTGAGAGCTTGAAAATTCTGGTTTTCTCGGTTTCTAGCACTCAAATAAATACAGCAACGGCACAAATGTGTTGTGTAGAGTGTATACGCGTGAGCGAGTTTGGGACCTGATAGTTTTCTTTGGGCAAAGTTATAGAAATTTTTTTTTAAAAATTCTCAGATTTCGGCTTCTAACTCATAATTTCCTGAAGCTAGTGCGAACACTTACACGACATCTATAGAGCTTGCTTTGCTCAATCGAACGGTACACTGCAACTCAGCCAGAATTGAGTAGTGTGTGACTTATTGCGGCAGAAATTCAAAAACATTTGTAAGACAACCTAATTCATAGGTTCCTACCCGGCTACTACCGGGACGCCTCGATTGCTCTCTCTGTTAGAATCCACGTCACGTCTACCCCATTCACCTGGTGCACACCAAATTGGTGCATCTCCAGTGAATTTCCTTGCATTTTCCCGCGGAAGTCAAGGCCTAAAGACCCGCGGGCAGGACACTGGACATTGAACCTCTCCTTGCGCGCTCTTTTCGCAAGAGACGCGAGAGTAGTAAAGAAAACTGTTGCTTCTACAACTCCACTGCAAATTGAACCCCTTTCGCGAGCTCTATTCGTAAGAGACCAGAGGGTAATAAAGTACCAGCTGGCAGTAGGTAATCCTTAATTTCTGAAAAATTTCTTTGCGTGCTCTTTCCCTAAAGACCAGGGAGTGGGAAGAATTTTGTGCAGCAAACACCACCACGACTTGTGAAACTCTTTTCGCGCGTCCTTTTTGTAAGGAACCAAAGAGTGAATCTGTTTGTGTGTGCACTTCCAACCTCTCTTTTTCTTCGCAAGTCCTGCAAAGGAGCCAGAGTTAGAAATAAGAGATTTTAAAGGAAGAAAGAACAAGACAAGAATCAAATTTGCTTGTTAAGCTTCGAAGTTCCACCAAAAACTTAAGCTTTTAGTCCTCACGGGACAGGTTCATCACATCTTAACGTGCAGCACAGAGTACAAGCCAACAGGCACGCTTGCTGACAAATACTAAAAGCTTGGCGCTCACTTGCCAGCTCACTAAAAGACTTCCTTGCATCCAACAAGGACAGTTGTCATACGAGATCAGCACTGCTGAAAACATAGAAACCACAGCAAAGCCCCAGCTTTTGGACTACAGAGAAAATTTAAAAAAAGACACGAGGAACATTCAAAGATGGCCTCACTCCAACTTTTTAAGGTCAATATCAACAACGCCTGAAAAATTGTGAATTCCCACGAGTCACAGATTGAAAAGGTTGATGTCTCCCACATTCCCCACACTGAAGGAAGAATGTAAGCAGTACATGAAAGACAAAACGGGATTAAACCAATCTTCTCAACTTTCTACACAACGCAGTGAAGCTTCAAGAGACGCAGATCAACTCCGTAATTGAGTAAATCAGCGCACGAATCAAGGAAAAAGAAAGGAGGAACTGATGATGGAGCTCAGCAAGCATTTAGAGATGGAGTTACTTGACCTGGAAGTGATTGTAGTGCAGTGGCGGACAAGGATAGAGTTCTGGCAGCATGAACTGAAAGAACAAGGCGCACTTCTGCACTGCGATGCTTCGAGCATACCGAGTCAACCAAGCAGTGATAATGGACAAGCTTGGATTCCAGAACGTAACGAAAGGCAGATTAAAATTCGGAAAACAGCTGGAAATCCCCACCTTCTCGGGCAATTTCCGAGAATTCAGTAGTTTCTGGACGGTATTTGAATCTCTCATCAACAGTGACGAGGAACCATCCGACACAGACCAATTCTTGTTCCTGACACGAGCCCTGAGAGGAAAAGCAGCAGCCACTTTGTGCTGCATACCCGTCGTTGGAGAGATATGTCAAAAAGCGATAGATCTCTTGAAGAAACACTTCGATCGCTTTGCCAACATGGCAGACATACTCATAAAGAAGATCGAAAAATTTTTCAGAGCGTCAGACAGTCCGAAAAGCTGCCGAGAAACCTTTTTAACAATTAATGCAAGGATAATTCATCTTGAACAAGCAGGAACGAAGATGAACGCAAACAGAGTTTAGCGTCGAATAATCTTCTCTAAATTCCATTTGTGTGACCGCCATCCAAAAGGAAGCTGTACAAGGTGATTCGTTCAATGTTGCCGGAATCCTGAACGCTATCGACAGCATCATTTCATTGCGAGAGACAATTCTGCTAACAACGCAAAACTCGTCGAATTGAAACAATAAACCAAGGAGTCTGTTGGAGATGTTTTGCAAGTAATCATAGCTCAAACGTTTGTTAATGGAGTATGTCCTGAATGCGAGGGATTACACCACGGAATCCTTTGCTTGTCCGAATAAGGCAAGGCAGTAGGTCTACCACACAAGCTTGAATTCTTCAGTCAACTATCATCAGCGTTCGCCTGCTTCTTTGCCAAAATATGACACCAACCAGGATCGTCGCGACATGGGTAATATGCACTTTGTACAAGGCTCACAGAATGAACAAGGAGTTCACAATATAAACGTACTTCTACGCGCGCATAATCAGTGCGTTTTTTAAAATCACCTCAGCATAGATTTTCAACGAAGCAGAGCACTACCAACCAACAATCACGTTCCTTCTCCGCGGCACAACGATGCTTCATCAGGTCAGGACTCTGTGAAGAACTCAAGCTTCCAGTCGTTCGAAGTACTTCATTCATTACATCAGGAATGGGCGCACAACAAGAGCAATTCAAATCATCTGAAGTGCGTATCATCTTGAAAAGCCTTCATAGCTCAGAAAAACTCAAGAAGTTGTCATTGCATCCAAGCAGAAGCTAACTACTGAAATGCAGACGGCAAGTCTCACGGAAGCAGACGTGCGTTTCATCATTGATGAGAAGCTGATTATCGCGCTAGATACGCTCTCCTATAAAAGCGTTTCACCCGATTTGAGGGACAAGATCTCTTGAGTCTTGTCACTCTTCACAAAGAAAGAGTGCGCAAGGTTCCTTCAGGGCTCATTTTGACCCCAACCGTCTTCGAATACGTCATATCTGGAACAAGCCGCACCACTACTAGTGCAAAACTCGTCGGAATATTTGGCTGCATATCAACACAGCCTGGACCAATCAGGAAGAGTCGCTTGATATCCCAACATCACAACAAGCAATGGGCGAAACGAAGACGTGCTCTGATTCCAGCATGAAGAACACACGAACAGAAATCGAGGGATTGTTGACGAAAACCACTCCAAAGGAAATCATTTCCACCAACAAAACTGCAGCACTTTTTTTTTTCAAAGGAAAAATCCGAATTCGTAGAGCACACATTTGAAGGTATCATTTTCAATGATATCCGAGCAGACAGACAACGCTGGTTGAACACAATCCGTTACTTAATAAGCTTTTCCGACCTGCGCTCTAATTCTGCGATGATGTGAAATGGAATAACAACCACATCGTCGTATGAGGATCTTAGGACGCAAGCAGAGACAGAGATGACGAAGGCATTATGGGGAAAACATCAAAAAGGTTCACCACTCATCAAAATGACGCCCAGCGAGATAATGATCTTCAATAATGCTTCTACTATCCATTGAGTTGTCAAGGAGCGAAAGGCGACGACGACGAGCAACGCCAAAGCCTAATCCGTTTCATCAACGACCTCATTTGGTCATACCATTGTGCAGTCTTTGGAGTTATTTTGGTTTGATAGTTGCCATGAGGACGGAGCCACCGTCGCGCGTGGACCCATTTGATGCGCAGTTTTCTTAGGTTCCATGCAGCGAATCCGCCGTGCTTTTGAATAATGGACCTACATGCTGGTGAAATGCGTTGTGCAAAATTCTGGCTCGAGATGTTTGCTGCAACCCGCTTTATGAATTTCGTGACAGACAGATAACACACACAGACGGACAAACAGACAGACTGTCTTGGCGCTTTATTGCCCGTGCGCCAGGAGTGTAGCTTGGTGGCACCTCCTTTGATACCAATTCGTTTACATGTACCCAGTACTCGGTTCAGCCCCGCCTTCCTTTGTTTGTGAGGAGCCTCCGAATGTATTAGAGATTTCTCCCCGGCTACCATCGGGACGCCTCGATCCTCTATTGGAATCCACGTCACCTGTGCGAATAAATCTATATGCCACTTCATCTGCCTCATTCACGTGGTACACACCAAATTGGTGCATCGTCCAGTGGACTTCCTTGCATTTTCCCGCGGAAGTTAAGGGCTAAAGACCCGCGTGGCAGGACACATCAAATAAGGGCTAGTTGAATTATGTTATTTATTTCTCAGTTCTATGTGCCTCAATGAACATAACAATTATCTATGCGAGACATCCTCGTGGTTGAATAAAACAAGCCCTCGTGGGGCTTGAGACAAAACCGCTACACATTAGTGTTTTGATGAGGCAGTGAGGTTTATGATGTCTGTCATTTAGATTACCCAATTTTTGATTTAATCAGGCTTGATTGTATTGCCATTGTTACTTTTTTTTACTTACAAGACCATTTTCCTAGTTACAAATGAGATCATACGTAAACTTTAGCAATACCAAATCAATATTTATATGGAAATATTTTATATGTAAAAATTTGTGTTTTGCAGGCTATGTCCTTTGATGATGCAGACGATGCGTCGTCATCATCGTCTCGGCGTAATTCAGCTAACGAAAAGGCTCGTCAGAATCTTCTCGCACAACGACGTCAGAGTCAAGTCCAGGTTTGTGAGATTCGGCTGAGTAAGTAACCGAGGAAGGAAGATTTATCTGACCAGAAATTTTCAAAACAGAAGATAACTGGGATTAAATTTGGTTCAATTATCGTAGTAAAATTTTTAGCTTGCCTTACATTTAGAGAATGACAGGGGAGAAAAAGAACGGAGCCTATTAAAAGTCTCAAAACCCGAAAATAGATTAGAAAGTAAACAAATGTGCAAAAAAATCTAGTTTTTGCAATTTGTTCATCTTTATAGTGTAGAAGGTTACTTTTTAGTCCTAGACTTCTAGGGTCGGCTCTGTCCCTTCTTTGGTCAAATCAAAAGTAAGCCACGAACGAAGTGACATGGTATTGCAAGTCATACAAAACTAGAAAAGAGAAACAATTGCTTGCATTTTTTGAAAAAACGACGCACAACCGCCCGATTCATGTGATATCACCGGAGCGCGGCCATATCTCGCTTTAGAGTGGACGAATTTAAGGACACCATTCGACTCAGCTCGGCGCGGCGCATCTACTGATATATAGAAGAAGTGCATGTTTGGATACAGTAGAAGGCCAGATTCTACGAATCGTTTCATATTTTTGCTTACGGTAGGCTACTTAGTGTGATTTTTCATTGCATTCACTGGGCAACCTACCGCAAGCAAAAATCTGAAAGTGTGGGAATGTGGCATCCTACGTGTCCAAGAGGTACTTTCATATATCAGAAAATGCGCCGCGCCAAATTGAGTTGAATGGTGTCCTTGGATTATGAATTCGTCCACTGTGAAGCGAGATATGGCCACGCTCCGGTGACTATTTCATTATCTTTTTGCCGTGAATTATCTATTTACGTAGGGGCATTACCTAATCGAAAAAACTGGGTGTATGATTTTCCCCTTGTGAAAATTTATCGGAAATTGCTATCTGAGAAGTTGACCGAGCGGCAATTCCTATAATTCATTCGTTGCCGAGAAAGTCGACTCTAAGCATTTGCCCAGATAGTACTCTTATCGTACTCGAGGATGCTGATTTGTTCGCCTGGAAAAGATGGGGCGAGAGTTTAGAATTATATTTCTCGGGCACGAATGTATCAGTAACTTTCAGTCTGGTTTGAAGGGCACTGCTATTGGGAAACAATTTATACCACATTTGTAAGAAGAAAGAAACATTGGGCAACAACATTAGCGCAGTCAGTTATGTTCCAAGCGAAATCATGTGTTTTCCTCTTGGATTGAATTTCTTTACAACATTTTGTTCATTGAAAATTTGCACTTTGTGTATGCTTAACAGCATTGAGTTGCAATCTTTTCCCCAAAAATTGAGCAATTCCTTCCCTTGAGTAATTTTAGTTATCTCATTTCAGCTTGTCCAAGCAATGTCTGGTCGACGAACATCGACAACACTCATTCCGCTCACTGCCGCTCAAATTCATCTAATAAGAGCACTTTGGAGACAAATTTATACGAGTAAAGGTCCAACTGTAGTTGGAAGCAGTATCTATCATAGACTGTGCTTCAAATGTCCTCAGGTAGGGGTATACTTGGTTTTTTCTTTGATCATAATTTATAGAATTGTGTTTCAGGTGAAGGAACAAATTCGACGAGTGCCTTTGCCAGTCAAGTTCCAAAATTATGATAGTTTCATCAAGGCACACTGCAAAGCTATTGGTGAACTGATAGATCAGGTTTGTTACACTCTTAACCAAGGCGTTTGACAGATTTTTGGAAGGCATCAAGTAAACCATTCCCTTTAAGTGAACCACTCCTTTTGGACTAAGCGAAATATTCCTCAAATCCTAACAAGCTTTCAACCTACGATCTTCTTTCGAGTAATTGATTTTGAAGCATTCGAATTTGAACTTAAAAGATCAAAAGAAGTGTTCAGAACATTATAAAGGCAAGCCGTATGTAGAAAAAAATTCACAGTTTATGAAGATCTGAAAACTCCAAGAGAAATTTTATAGTCGAGTAAGCTCTCTTCGCCACTGTAAAACGGCCCTTTTGCACCCCTATAGTACGTCGCAAGTCGCAGAATACGCAAAACCGCATTTTCGCAGGAAAACCAATAGTTCTTTTGGTGTATCTTGATTTTAATGAGTGTAAGAGAACTTTAACCCCAGTTCTTCTGTGTATTTTCAAAATCATAATCATTATTTTTTCAAATTTAAACATTATCTATCAATCACTATTCTTTAGATTGTGGAAAATCTTGACAACCTTGACAATATGACGGATGAACTAGTGCGTATTGGTAGAGTACACGCGAAGTTACTGCGTGGTGAACTTACAGGTCGGTAAACTCCCTACATTCCATTTTTGCAGAGAAATTCTTTCGTATTTTCAGGAAAACTCTGGAATGTTGTAGCTGAAACATTTATCGATTGCACCCTGGAATGGGGTGATCGCAGATGTCGATCTGAAACAGTAAGAAAAGCCTGGGCACTCATCGTTGCATTTGTAATTGAGAAGATAAAACTTGGACATCATGAACAGGTACGGTAGATAACCTTTTATTCAACTAGCTAGTCGGCTGGAAGGCGGGGTTTTGTGACCTAATTGAGGCCGCTCGCGCCCGCGGAGTCTGCGTCTCTCTCGCGCGCATGCTTTCTGATCATTATCTAGCCTTAACTAGGTCACGAAGCCCCGCCTTCCAGCCGCCAAGCCAGTTGAACCAAAGGGTTGTTTCAGCAGATACTTGAAACTTTAGAAATTTTGTTTTTTTTAGAGAAAACTGATGCTTGCCACACGTCAATCGCTGCCGTCTATTGAAGTACCTTTTCATTCAATGAGACTTTAAATTTTTTTATTCTAAGAAAGCAGTATATATCATCTTAAATACCGTAATCCCATCAATCTAGTCTTATTTTATGCCTTGAAACACTTAATTATCTTACATGGGTTAGAATAGTGTTCTTAACAATTCCAGCAATATCCAGTGTGCGGGTGCTATAACTGGATGACCGAGCAGATCCACTACTCTCATCCGTGTTGTCACGTTTTTTTCTTGATTATTTTTTAGTGCTTTTGATTTTTGATCTCGCGAAGATCGGTTTGTAATTGTTAGCCTGAATGAGCTTGTTATTTGAATTCAGTTTTTTTGTCTGATATTCAACATAATTGCGTTGTTGTATGTGAAAATAGAATAAATATTGTTTATGCGATTTGAATATAGTGTAGAGGAGCTTGATGTTAACTAGTAAGAGTTACTAATTAGTATCTCCTTGAAAAGTTATATGAGACATGCCGAATTTTATTTGTCTTTCCGATGGTTTATAGAAAAGCGTGTAGACTCACTGAAGCCCAATGTCCACCAAAATTTTTATATCTTTTTGTGATACATCCATGCTGAAAGACTGCTAAATGAAATACGTTCAAAAAGCACCTGTTTTTTTTTCTCAAGGGCAGGGCATACTTCACGCGATTTCAGTCGCGAGCGATTTGGCAATATTCCAACTGTCCATAACTCACTGTAAGCACATTTTAAATGTACAGAAGATAGGGCATTTTAGCAATCCACGTAAGTTATACACACTATGCATGTGCAGTTTGCTAGTGTTGGATCTGAAAACTTCTGGCGAATTGCCAAATCGCTTCGCGACTGAAATCTCGTGAAGTATGCCCGGCCCTTTACGCGTAGCGATCTCCTTGCGAACCCAAACTTGAAGGCATTTTATATTTTTCTCCTTTTTTTTCAAGCAAAGAAGATCGGTGATTTGAGCTAATACTAATAAGACTTCGATAAAATCATTAAGCTGTTTGTTCACAGGCAACAAACCAGCGCATGAATTTCCCTCTGCATGCTTTTAGTGATTTTACATAATTGTTTCCTTGTATATCATGCAAATCAAAGCGACAATGTGTGAGAATAAGCTCAAAATAACCATCAAGACAAAAGTATAACTCTAAGATGTGTTTCATTTGTTGAAACACTAGCATTTTTGCAGTAACTCGTGATTTTATCTCTACAATCTCCGCTGGCCGTTTCAAAATGTTCTTTCATCAGTCAAAACCTCTTCATTCAATTCACACCGATGTTTACCCTAATGCTGTAGCAAACTCGTCAATTACTCGTAAAACTTCTTCTGAAAGAGATGAAGCCCCAATCTCTTGAAAAGGGGAAACAAAAAACTGGGTAAAAAGAGTCGGTTTGTGCAAATTGCTCGAAAAGGTGCAAAAGCATGTAAACTCAGCATTTTGCTCGTCGTTTCCGACATGGTGAGATTTTCTCGCTTCAAGTTAAGGTGAGACTGGAATTTCGAAAAGTAAGACCGAAACGATTCTTAAAAAATTTGGATGGCTTACAAATCATTGTTCTGTACTGAGAAATTGTGGTATGATCTTACTAGGGTTCTGGTCTCAGCTCCATAACAGATTGTAAAGAAAAACCGTGAGGCCAAAAAGGCGATTCCAAGTTGCTTTTGAAAAAATATAGCAACTCCAAGTTTGGAGTGAAGGAACCGTAAAAATCATAGAAATCATCAAAAGCTGATAATAGAAAGAAGCAAAAAACCTTTGGTCAAAGATAATTAATGAAACTGCTTTTCCCAAAACTCTAACAAAGCAATTTGGATTTTTCCACTCCATAAACATTGAATGGGAAAAGCATCAGAGAGTACATGAGTAATGGAAAACGCAAAAAATGTTAATGGTACAAATAGAGACAGTTCCAATTTGATCAGAAATGGTCGTATTCATAAGTTGGAAAAAGGAAACAATATACAAACATTTGCAAAAAAACACTCGTTAGAGCAGCTCCCTAACATTCACTTCTTGTGACGGACTGATTGAACTCGTAACGAAAATATTTATTGGATCAACATTCTTCAAAAATTTATTTGATTTCCAAAAGGTAAACCAACAGCTTCACGGAATCGAGAGGAGATAAAAACAAAGATTCTCACAGTAAAAAAAACACAGAAAAAACCAAACAATTTACTATACACTAAAGAAGTTTGGGGACAATAAAGCAAGAACGATTAACTATTAACAAAAACAACGATAAAGCTTTCTTCTGCTTTCGGCGTTTGTTTTGCATCTTTCCTTCTTCTCGATTTTTATAAAACTACCTTCACTTTTTGTCGGTGGCAGATATTCAAACAACCTTCACTTTTAGCTCTGTCTCTAGACCAGGGCTCGGCACGAGCTGGCACCAGGGAATTTTCAAAACGAAATCCCCCTTGATTTTCGCTAAGTTTCAAAGTCCCCTTTGACTCTAAACCCTAAACCTAAAAAAACCCTCAAACGAAACGTCGGCTAAAAAACGTCGCAATTTGTCGACAAAAACGATATCCCCTTTGCTTTTTGTCCCAAAAACGTTAAATATGGAGTTTTGGTGCTTTTACGATTCTTTTAAAGGCCGGCCATTTTCTAAAGAAGTCTAAAAGTGAGTGTAACCTACTGGTTCGGATATTTTGAACGGATATAAATAGTTTTTATCTAAACTCTGCTTACATTCGATTAGGAAATGTATATGTTTCATTCTTCAAACAAGTTATTCCAACACTGGCAGCAAATCTTCTTTGCGCAGTGAGTCTGCAGTGGAGATGGCAGAAAAATCCTCATAAGCTTGTTTTAAATTAGAAAATGCTCGAGGATGTGCAAGCGAAACCGTATGAAGAAGAGGCTCCAAAAAAGGAGGTCCCGATGCGCGTTGGTAAAATGATACTCGACCCGAAGAAATTGGGTGAAGAAGTTCTCGAGAATGAAGAAAAGAAAAAACCTGCCAGTGAACCTGCTGAAGTAGAGGTTGATGTAGAGGAGGATGATGTAATGATACAGAAAGATCCACCACAAAAAAGGACAAAGCCAAAAAGGACAAAGCCGTTACCAAGTGAGCCATCTCAGGATAAAGATAAAGAGAAAGTTAAAGATAAAGATCATGTTGAGTAAGTGTTGGGTTGTATAGAAACGATTCATTGCACGCAGACTGTACGCTCTGCGCCGAGTGAGGCAGTTTCGTTCAGAAGAGACTGTAGACGGTGAGAGGGATGATATTGCGCTTGATCGCAGAGTTGCAGCGTACGCACTGGCGTCCTGTCTCTGCGTGCGATGACTCGCCTATAGTCGCTATATTTTGTTTTTGAAAACACTCTAGAGATTTAGATCTGTGACTGTTGATATCTACGAAATGACTGGCCCAAAACCTAAGAAACCATCAGAGAAGGAACCTAAGAAACCTTTAGAGAAGGAACCTAAGACAGCTAAAGCAGTAACTCCAAAAGACACCAAAAAAGCAGCAAAAACTCCGTAAGTCAATCCCTTATTCGCCTTCAAGAATAAATTGAATCAATAATACTTTGTAGAAAAAAGAAATCCAAAAGAACTCCGCATTCGAAAACACCGTAAGTGAAAGAAGCAAATATGTATACATTTGACGATACAGAAAATTTAGCAAGAAGAAGAAAAATAAGAAAACGTCACACAGAAAGAGGAAACATGAATAAAACAGGGCCTTCACCGTCTGTATATGTGGAACGAAACAATTTTCAAATACTCAACATCTCGAAAACATTAAAGTTTTCCAGAGAATTGTTGTGTTGTTGTCGTTCTGGCTGGAGCTTTGCAGATAAGACCCAGTTCAGAGGTTCATGTGCTGGCACAGCTCCGGCGTTGTGCCAGTGCCGTTCTAGCGCCGTGCTAGCGTCGTGCCAGAAACCACGTGGAGCAACGTGCGCTGGTTCTCGAAAATCGCTAGTAGGGTTACCGTATGAGGCTAGCACGGCCTTAATACGGTGCTGGTACGGAACTCTGAACGCACTCCAAAGGGCATAGGGCTCTTGATTAAGGCAGTCGCCAATCACTTAGCCAGATTATCCATTATTGATCACGTACCGTAATCGGCGCTGATTGGTCCTTTCGGAAGAGCACGGTTGCGCTTTTCTACATTGAGTCTTTTGACCCAGACAGATCATTCGAGCTGCTGCAGCAATGATTTTATTAGAACAGTCACTTACTAATTAAGAAGCGAGATACCCAAATGATTCTGTTCTGTCACGCCTTTGCAGCCATCGAGACCCGACTTGCCAAGGAGACTGAAGGGCCGGGCATACTTCACGCATAACTCACTGTAAGAACATTTCAAATGCACAAAAGATAGGGCATTTTGTCAACCCACGTAAGTTATATACACCATGCATGTGCAGTTTGCTAGTGTTGGATCTGAAGACCCTGGCACTGCCAAATCGCGTCGCAACTGAAATCGCTTGAAGTATGCCCGGCCTTCTAGACAAACGCATACAGTATCGTAGAGCCATTTGTAACTTGAAATGCTTGTTGCACAAGACACGCGCTATCTCACGGTTCTTCGATTATTACCTGTTGATTTTCGAAGAGTCCTTCCTTGTTTTCTTCTCTCCTTAAGCTTGATCGGATGAATATGAATTAGCAGCACGTAGTTCCACAATATTGGTTAGTTACTAGCGAGGTGTCATCGGTTGCTTTGTGCAGTGTGCAGACTCAAACAGTAGATGGTTCGCTCATATACTATGTAGTTCATAAATTGCAAATTCATAGTCCGAATTTGGAACAGCATCTTTTGTTTTGAGAAAAGGAATGTGTGATGGTAAAGAATCTAGCTTTAGACAGCGTTCAGTGCGGAGTTGTGCCAGCACCGTGCCAGCGCTGTGCTAAAAATCCAGGTGCAAGCACGCCGTATCGATCGACCAACGTTTCAGCATTGCGCTAGCACGACTATGGTAAGCGCTAGAACGGTTCTGGCCGAGCGCTGGCACGTTCAACTCCGGACACAGCCACAGTGTGAGAAGAATAAGTGAAACAAAGTGTCAATACTTTATTGTATAAAGATTGAGACGAGGTTGAAAGCGAAATATAAGGATAGCAGCAATTTCCACTTCATTAATATAGTGAAGCATTTCAAGAGGTTGTTTTGACATCATCTAGAGTTTTCCAGTCACCAAGTTGTATCTCCATCTTTCTGCAATGTTGCGTTTGATTGAATGAATTCAAAAAGGACTGTAGTGATGCTTACTTTTCCTCTTGTTCAGCTGATACTTGCGTAGGTTCTGTCGAGTTCGAGTCTTGGGAGGTACTTTCTGGTGGGCCGAGTAGTTCGTAGATATTCTTATCCCCTCTAAAGCAGTATCTACATAAAATTATGAAGATGTTGAATATCAGGAAAACTCGCTTTTTTCCATCAACAGGAGCTTGATCTGAGCTTTTGCTTTGCTGATCTTTTTCTTTTGAATGATCCTTGACGGCATCTTTCTTGCGATCTTTCTTCTTTTTGCCATGTTCTTTACTTTTTGCTTTCTTCACATATGGTTTTGCTAGTACATATTCGCTTTGCTGCTTCTCCACTCCATTATCAATCTCTTTCTTTAGTTGAGGTAGCGGTCCATCCATCTTCCAGTATGTTTTGGAGTTCGTGGCCGAGCAAGTGAGCACAACTTCCAGACGGGCACAAATACGTAAAACTGAACCTTCTAGTGATTGACATTATATGAGTTTTTCAAAGGATTATCACAATCAATGAAAAACAGATTTACTGGAAGGTTCACTGAATGCGAAACGATTGCAGGTAGAAGTGAAGAATTTAGAAGAAAGTCGTGATGCTTGAAAAGGAATAGGGCATCATACAGCACCCCAAAAATCGGTCCATCCACATCTGGAAATTGCATTGGACTGGACTCGCGACAAAAATTTTTCTTTCTAATGAAGGTGCGCGGCGTTAGCCACGCACTCCGAAAGATTTTTTGGGATGTTTCCCAAAATTTTCCCGGGCTCCTGACCCCAAAATTTTAGGAAAAGGGGGCGTGGCGTCAGCTCGGTTGCCGTGTAAATTTTGCAGACTCGCATTAGGCCCCGGACAGACTTCACGCGATTTGATCGTCGCGACTCAATCGCCGACATTTCCATTCATTTTCATTTCACATTCAAAAATTTCGGGCTGGAAAAGTATCACAACCGAAATGCAAGTTGATCGGCATGGAATGATGTAAGAACAGTTGTCTCGTCGCGATTCAGTCGCGACGATCAAATCGCGTGAAGTCTGTCCGGGGCCTTAAGTTACAAATGATTTCGGGATACTATAATTTTTGAGATAGTATTTCTCATTCTATACGCCTTTTGGGATCCAGCAGAACAGAAAGATAACAGTGCCAACGTTTTGGTTTTGTAGATTATTCAGATTGACACTGCCGTCAAGATAATACGATAACATCAGCAGAATCGGACCATAAAATGGTACTGCCCGAAACACTGTAGACTTGGAATAAGAAAGTATAATATAGATACCGGCAGAACTTTCGAATGAAAAAGAAATTTTATTTCAAAAAAAATTAAGTCAAGAATCAACATTTATTTACAGTTCTTGCATCCATCATCCACCAAAACCATATAAAGTTCGTCCTTGACGTTTCAACGCATACACGACATCCATGGCGGTTACGGTACTTCGCCTTGCGTGTTCGCAATAAGTGACCGCGTCGCGAATCACGCACGACAGAAAAGTTCGCAGCACGTCGCGAGTCTCAGCATAGATCAGGCCGGAGATTCGCTTAACGCCGGCGCGTCGAGCGAGCCGGCGAATGGCTGGCTTCGTGATTCCTTGAATCGGCTCGTTACGGAACTTCTTGTGTCGTTTCGAAGTGCATTTGCCGAGGCCTTTGCCAAAACTAGGTGTGACCGTCATTGGAGTGAAGAATGAGCACAGTAGGATAAGAATGAGCTTTTATATGGGTGATACGTTGGCCTTATTTTAAGACTTGAACTAACTTGTTAGGAATTTCGGGGGGGGGGGGAGGGGAGGGAAAATATGCAAAGACGGCATTACGTGCAAAACGCAAGCAACCTCAAGCACCGCCCACTTCTACGCCGTTCCACTATATCGCGTCGGGACCTGCATTGAATACTGTGTATCTCTAAATATGTTAATCAAATTTTTATCCCAATGATTGTAATTCCAGATTTTTGTCTGCTGCACAGAGTCCTTCTTCTGCTATGCAAGAGTAATTTTCCGAACATTCGTCATCATTTTGGCATGGTTGTCCTACTTCGTAAACGGCTTCTTCTCTGTGATTTCCACTGAAAAGGTAAGTTTGATTTTGTGATTGCTTCAGTTTTGAAAAAGCTGGTTTATACTTACCCTGGGCTATAATGGCAAACAACCATTTGCATATTCGGGCATAAAGATACCGCACATCCGACACGTTGAGTCTTACCACAAGCCATCTGGAACGGTTGTAATCTTTTTTCAAATTTTAAAAGCATACAAATTATCGAAAACTTGTTTTGGCATAACTCACACAGAAAAGTTTTTGGATTTATCTGCTGAAATATCCAACAAGTAAGTGACTTATCATCTATACCCCCCCCCCCCCTAATCGGATGTTTACTCAAGCATTTGCTATGAGTTGCTTAAATTGGAGGCTCAAAATCGTAAGATGACGTGACTCATATGTTAAAATGCGGTTGTCTAAGTCAAAATAGGTCAAAATAGCTTTTTAGATGTTTTCTCGGTGATTTATTATAGTTTGCGAATGTATACCTGGGTGAAATGTCCTATAAGAACTCCTTTCTTGTTCCATACATCATCCGTTAGAACAGCATCCGCTGGCATGCCATACTCTTCCAGTTCTCTCCACCAGACTTCGAAGGCCTAAAAACCAGCGATTTTATAATATTCCTTACTCATTAGACAGCATCCAGAGTTTCCTGTGCCTGTGCCGCACCGCCGTGCCAGCGCCATGCTGAATCCTACTTGCACGCGCCCTGCATCGATTGATCAAAATTCCGGCACAGCGCTGGAGCGACGTTGGCATGGCGTTGGAATGGAAGTCAAGGTCGCATCAGAGATGCTGCGTTTAAGTTTTTTGCTGTAATGGTGAAGCATACCGTGTGCAATAATGATGTTGTTTCCCAATTTTTCAACGACGTCATGTACAAATTTTGTCCTTGATCGGGTCGCTCCCATGAGTTCGAGTGCTCAAATCTGCATTTGTTGGCCCATTCTTGAGCATATCTTTCAAGTTTACAATCGTATTCCTGTGAACATCGTTGTTTAGCATCTTTTCCTCGTGAAAATATTCTTAGAAGTATGAAAAGAGATATAGTGGGGGTTATCGAAGACTGACCAATTTGAGCATGTTTTTGGCACCTATTTGATTTCTTTTGATCTCCCCATTGAATTCCAGCCCTCTTGCGAGACGTGATCTGAAAATTTTTCATTTATATACAGGGATCTTGATGAATTAGTCGATGAGCGAATTTTAGATTTTTTTGAGGATCAAATTGTAACAAAGTAGAGGGTTAAAAAGGCTAAAAAGTTTATAGTGTAATCATTAGAAAAAAAGTTGCCTACACTAGAAAATACGAAATAAGGGAAGATAGAAAGAAACGAAAAAAAACTCTGAGGAGGAAAAAGGATGCTTTTGTGTGGAACCGAAGCTCAGGAACTTATACTTGATTTTCACCATACCTGTAATGATTATGAATGTCCACAGAGTAATTTCTTGAATAATCGGTCATGCTCAGTCCTGCACCACCGCACATTCCATTACTGATTCTGTCTGGAACGTAAAATTTCCAAGTGTTAGTCACGATAATGCGAAAAATCAGATCATCTACGATAATGTGAAATTTCTTTTATTGTCTGATTTCTGCGCTCTGCTAATTTAGGTGATCCTCATCCTTCTCAGATAAGTCAGGAAATTGAAATGTGAGGTATAAAACCATGCCAATAACTTGACTTGATTTGTGTAGTTGCAGATTTCTAAATGGTCTAACTTTCAAACACTTCGAATAAGTACTGTAAAAAAATTTTCGAGTTCGTAACAATTAAGAAGTTGTTGAAAACAAATTTCCGGTACCGCTACCGATTACCGTAAAACAGTTTTTTTCTGTATTTCTTGAAAAATAGCCATTTTTATATTTCTCATGAACTTGGACTTTTTATGATTCTTGAAATTTGCCAAAAAAAATTCAAAAAAAAATCCAAAAAATTCGAATTGGATTTTTTATGTGTGAGCATATATTGTGCTAGAACCCTTCGGATAATCTGAAGATGGCAGAAATTTTTTGAGAAACTTCTGCAGATCTTTCCTTTCAAGTATAAGAAAACTTAAGTTACGACCTGATATTAGCGTTACGTTTTTAGTTCTTTTTTTACCTTCAGGAATATCTGGAGCTTGGCAGAGTCCCAAAGGTGCTAAGCATCTAGATTTGGGATATGTGGTACAGTCTTCATCTCGTTTGCATGATGGTCCTGGCTCATAGATTATACGGTTCTCAATGTTAACTCTAAAAAAAGCCAAAAATTCCTATATACGGTTAAACGTGAGAAAGTTACTACTTTGTGTTGTAAACACAAGTAAAAATAGCTCGAATAGAGTCGCAAAGAGTGTAAGAGCATCCAATTCGCGTCGTCATTCCTTTTGCCATCTGCAAGAAAAATACGAATTTTTATAAGCTTGTACGCCTTTGAAATTTTCAGTTACCTTTTATCTTACTGTCTCAATACCTACCGTTGTTCAAAAATTCAAAAATTGGAACCTTAATACCAAACCTCTCGAAATCTATTTTTTATTTTTCAATGATTTTAGTACCTTTCATTTATAGGTCTCAAGACCTATCGTTACAAAAATTCAAAAAATCGAAACCTGTGAAAGCTTAAAAGAAATTCATGAACTTTTGAAAGTCTAATCTTTTTTACTTTTTTGTAAAAATTTTGGTGTAAAAGAATAACATACATTCGCCCATCCGAAATATTTCTGCCGATTAAAGTAACGATTTTTACTATCGACATTCCCATTGCGTTTATACTCCAACCACCATGATCTCATTGAGTCGTCTATGTGTTTCGTAACGTTGTCTCCTCGAATTGCTACATGAATCCTGAAAAATTCCAACAATTTTTCCTTTTTTAAAAATGCTTGAATTTCACAAACCGCTTCACGAGTTGTAATCCCAGAGGAATATTTCTTGTTTTTTCATATGGTGTAGTATACCTGGGACAGTCATGTGCCCATATACGAGCCATCTGCTCTAGTTCGCAATCCCATTTCTAGACATTAGGAATTAGACATTAGGAAGTTTACAAAATATTGTGGAGACAAACCAGTAGATAGATATTTTTTCCGCTGGACATCAATCCTAGTCCTTCTTTGTTTTGTTGACGTCCTTGTGCAAGTTTGCTTCTCAAACGGTTATGAGTGAAAAGTACGAAGTCTCGATGTTCGGGTGTCATTGTTGAACCAGTACAATTCTCATTTTCATGGGTAGCTGAAATGTACACGCGATTTTGGAGATTTTTACAGCTTAATCTGGATGTCGAAATTCAAAGGAAATTTTAGCAATTGTCTAATAATATTTTTCAGTTTCACGATGTTTGAAGTTCTTTGTTGTTTAGAAAACAACTGGTCTGCTAAAAGTGTATGCAAAATTGCAATTAACATTTTCCTTGAGCAATGATAATGCCATTTATAAAATTTCAGTTCTGGCTAATCATCCAAAATTTTTTTTAGGTCGAAAAATATACCAACTCATTTGTTTAATTTTGGGATAAAGTTTGTTACATTGTCTAAATAATTATAATAACTATTACGCCATAAATATCGATAAATAATTATATAGTAATTCATTGGTTTTGTTGTAAATTTGAAAATTTCCAATTTTACACGAAATTTTTTTTTACCCTCATCTTTGATGAATTTTTTGCACTGTATGCACTCACAACTAGTGAAAAGATCATTTCCCGAGAAATCACTGCCCTCTTCGTTGTCGTCGGGCAGTCCGTGAGTGAGCAAAGCTATCAGTTCTGGATCTTCGGTTTGGGCCTAAAATGGAAATACTACACTTGATATTTCGCCATCAATTTTTATCGTGTTTTTTATAATGAGTTTTTTTTCAGTGCATGATTAGTCATTTATTATCTGCTAAAATCCACTGGACCACCTACCCTAGCAGTATGGGTCATAAATAACACAACCATGATCCACGGTATGAGCATCATGACGGGAGCAATTTCTGGATTCTCTCAAATGGCTGAAATTAGGATTAAGCATATTTATGTACATGACTACTTAATCGCGCGAATAGAAATCATATAAATCGCTAGAGAAATGACATTTATTAGGCGAAATCAAACTTTTGGCACAACCTTTTAAAAATTCTTACTCCTCTTGATTGAAGGAAGTATCTATATACCAGTGGTCAACGCAAAAATAAGTGATGACATATGTCAAAGCAAGTTCATAAAGTCACGATGTCGATTTGACACTTACTAATTGTCGTAAAGAACTGAAAAATAGCAATAAATTCCGATACTGTCAGAACTGTAAGTTTTATGGCCCATTCTTTGTAGCAAATAGTTATTTTCAAGCAGAGGAACAATTTTTGTCACATTTTGAAAAAACTTTGAGATTCTTTAGAAGCTTTGATGACTAGATACCATTGTTACTTAGACTTATAACTTTGTGTCATGGACTACTTCCATGTTCTGAAAAACCTCTGACAAATATCCATACTTTTCCAGAAAAATTTACCTTACATCTACGCAAATTTTGTGAAAAGCTTTTCCTTTTGTTTGATATCTAAATAATCATAACTGTCATATAACTTCTACATGATAAATGTGTATTACACCCGTAGCTATCTTACGATGGGAAATTTATCAGTTATAATATTTACAAGTTGTATGGCTTCGAGCTACCAAGAAAGAGAATCAAAGTCAAATAAGGTCTAGAAAATCAAAGGAGAGATCACATGCCAGTTAAGGTATCTGTAAAGACGAAAGTAATTGGATGTGTGTCTCTTGTCTCTTGAAAGCTTGTTATCCAGTCTTAGTGAGAAGCGGTTCTGTTAAGAACATGGGAAAGCAGAACCAAACACTCGAAGATTACATAACAGATCACATCGAGCTATAATAACAACACTCGGTCACAATCAAAGATTTAATGGCATCGTTGATTTAACAGGTTTCGCTTTGCAGTGTTGGATTAGGAAAGATTAACCTAAATATATAACTCGTAACTTTTGAAGTACTAGGTCTACCATAAACTTTGTCACACTTGGAAGGAAAAAACTCTACAACCTTTTCAAAAGATTTTTTTCTCAACTCCAGATTGCGTGGAGGGTTGCAGTTTTTCAACTTATACATGTCACACGTAAGAAATCCAGTTTTTAAATTTTTACAGAATTTTTGAACTATTTTTGGCAAATTAGTTGCGTTATTGCAGAGCCTAGGCTTCCAAACTGCCTTCGAATTAGTACTGATGTCCTCGGAAGTGCATAAAGTATCTTAGAGAATAAAAATTAAGAATGGGGGAATTTCAAGAGAAAAAAATGGAGAATGAAACGCTGTCAAAAAATTGCTTTTACATTTAAATTTACTGCAACCCGCATCCGCAAAGATATATGCGAGATATAAGACTTTGCTAGTGTTCCTAGAATTTTTTTAGAGAAAAATGAAAAGTGTCACAAAACTTTTGTCATACCCAGCATTGAAGGAGTTAACTGCGGAGCAGTTTTTAACCACAGTCACATGTCCTCTTAATACTGACAATTTTTAATTTTCTTTCAGTCATTTCCCTTCTCGAGTTAGTTACATCTTAAGAAACAGTTTGTTGAAAAACAGTCTGCGCATATTATTTATTCAGCAAACATTCATTGTTAGAATATTGGTTGTGATTCAGTCACAACTGTTTTACTCTTTACTAGTGCAACCAAAATGACTCTTAATGCCTAATCAATTACGGATCATGACTTCTTAATTTGCTCTTTATATTCTGCCCTAAAGAATGTAGCTGTAGGTGTCGTTCGAAATGTGATGGTTGCTCAAACTGGATGCTGCAGCATGGACATTGGATTCTGTAAGGTAGTATTGTAAATGCGATTGGGCACATTTATGAAAACGATTTTGAGAGAAAAAACTTCGTCAACCGTGTTGAGAAAGGCCACATTTTTGAAAAGAATTTTGAGTGAAAAAATTTCGATAATCATATAAAAGACACTTCTTATCTCCTTAAAAAAATTTTTTGAGTTTTCGTCATGGAGGACATAACGAGAAAGCAAATGCTTCTCGATTATTTTATATGAAATAAAAATAGAAAAGAGAACTCACAGCTTGAATGAGACCATTATCTCTTTTCCATGTACTTCCAACAGATGTTCGACGATATTTCGTTCTGTCTGGAATTGATCTTGGGTTTTTGTAGACTCAACTGTGTTTTCTTAGTTCTTTTGTAAATGTATCTAAATTTTACAAACCTCTCCGCAATAGCCGCATAGCATCTTATTCTTTCCTTGGAAATGACCATAATAAACGTTTCGCAAAGCTACATCATGTTCCATCAACGAATGTCTTTCCAGCGATGAATAACAGAGAAATCTATAATGAATTTGTTTTGGTTTTTTGCGCATAAAAATTTTTCGGAGACGAATATTAAGAACTCACGTTTTGCAGCAGTTATCGCAGTTTATTCGTGGGTACTCTTCTTCCATTCTTAGCGGTGAAATATGCAGTAACTGGCAATGAGCGTCCTTCAAATGATTTTTTTTAGCAATTTCGGTTTAAGATGTACCTGGAGATGGGCAATAAGCTGATCCGAGCGGATAACGCTATCGCAAAGAGCACAGAAATCGTGTGAAGGTAGCAAATCACAAAGTGACCTTGAAACAGGAAATTAGATTAAGAAATGGTTTTTTATGAGTGTATATTTGCAATCTCACCTGCAAAATTCCACGCGAGCTCGATAGCTGGACATTTGTGGCTTGTTCAGATGAAGAGGGAACAAGGTCAGAGTAGAATCATTGCTTATCGGCTAAGACAATGGACTGAGCCCGTGCACACTGATGACGGGTAGAGGAACGAACGCCTCAATTCGGCACCGTCGCCGCGGACTGCTGGTCCTTCCGTCCTACTGTTGTGCATCGTGTTAGGACCAGTGGTCCGCGGAGGCGGTGCCTAATTGAGGCGTTCGTTCCTCCACCCCACTGATGACCTCAGGATAGATCTGAGTGCCAGTGGGAGAGGTGGGCGAGGGAGTGAGTGATTTACGATGGATACCATGGGTTACGATCTTATATATAAAGCTGAATGTCTGTCTGTATGTATGTCTGTATGTCTGTCTGTACGTATGTGCGGAATAGAAATTTTTATTTCTGAACCGATCGGGACCAAACTTGGCACACATATACTTCGGGGCAGGGAGCGTGTCATAGGCTACTTTTCGTTATCGATCGATATCGATTTTATCAATTTTTTGCAAAATTTGAGCTAGGGGGCTAGGATTTTGCACAGGGGGGTAATCGAGTATGCTGATCACCCCAAAGGGGTACCCCCCTGTGCAAAATCCTAGCCCCCTAGCTCAAATTTTGCAAAAAATTGATAAAGTCGATATCGATCGATAACGAGAAGTGGACTATGACACGCTCCCTGCCCCGAAGTGTATGTGTGCAAAGTTTGGTCCCGGGCGGAGCCGGGTTTGCCATCTAGTATGCGATAATGAGAAATGAGAATAGGGCATTCTCCGCCCAGCTTATTTTGGTTTATCTTTTTTCCCTGTAATTTTCATATTTTAGAATGTTGGTATTCTATAGTTTTTTGTCATTTTGTTTAATTTTGTAAGTTACATTTTTCACTTTTTCTCTTCTTACTGCTTGCCATTCTCAGCCTTTGGATATCAAAACCGAATTTCTGTGTCTTTCCTTTTCAACAAACCTTTATCATTTTATCATATGAGCTCGGATTTTTGATAATCCTAAAGTGAAAATCACTGAGTTTTTAATTAATGAGATACGGTAAACGAGTGACAGTGTCCTTAGTACTCAGGGTTATAAAATTGTGCAAGAGACTTCTTTTTACTTCAGGGCTCAGCACAGCTGGCACCGGGTCAAGCTGGATATCGTTTTTAGGGCGGAAAGCATAGGGGATATCGTTTCTGCAGGGGCCGAGGCGGAGAACTGCCGCAAAAATGCCGCCGGCATGCCACCGGCATGCCATTGGCAAGCTGCCCATCAACAAACAAAGGCGTTGTTTTCAGCCAAAACGCAATAGTATGACACCAAATTTGGTGTGTGCATGCGCGTTGGTGGACCGGAACTACGGGCCAAAAATTTATGAAAACTTATGTGAATGAAAGCTGTGCCGAACTTTTTTCTGAATTAGCTGGCACCGTGCCAGCTGGGTGCCAGCTGAGCTGGCACCGACACTTTGCTCACATAAGTTTTCATACTTTTTTACATAAAATGTGTCTACACTGTAAAAGATTACATACGGAGAAGAAACAGTTTCATAATGTTCTCTTTTCAGCGTTTTATAGCAATTTGAAAAGCACTCGGTCCGCTCCGCAGCCGAAAAATCGGCTTTTTCTGCTTCTAAAGATGTGATTCGACCACTTAAAAAGCTCAGGAAGCTGTGAAATGTTCTTTCATGAAATCAGAAATGCATGAAAACACTATTACATTTTTTACATAATTTAAAAATGATGACGGGTTTTCAAAAATGGTCAAAAGGGACTTCGTACGAAATTTTCAATATCAAACGGGACTTCGTTTTGAAATTTCCATGGTGCCAGCTCGTGCCGAGCCCTGTTTTACTTTCTAGCAATTGTAAACGTTTTTGAGCATTCAGCTGTCTGCACCCATGCCCTTCGGTGTCATAAGCCCTCGATAGTACTAAAAGTAACCCATTTGACTAATAGGTATCATGCTCATTCGCAAAAGATTTTGGTTGCACTCTACCCGAAACAAATCTCTCGGACCGCCACCGCCAAGGCCATATCGGAGGGGTTGTATAGGTGTAAATTGGGGAAATTGAGATGGATTGTGAACAAAAGAATGTTCCCTGGCAAGCCTCCAGATCTTCGAATCAAAGATTTCTTCTACAATCGTTCCTTGCCCACTTGTAAAGGTCATCCTTTTAACCAAGGTTAACACGTTTCGGACCGGTGCTGCACATGGTGCAGCACGCGGCTTTGAAGGATCTTTTTAAACTCTACAGGAGGTTTTCTT